GAGAGAGAGAAGATATTACTCGTCCATTCGTCTACGATTAAATTCTCCCCGAAAATTCCGCCGATGGACAGCATTTTATTTCCCTGTGTTTTAAAAATTTCATTTCTCCTCCCCCTCCCCGCCCCTCCCATTTGAAAATTTTGTAAACTTCGAAAATTTCAGAGGCGTCGAACATTTGACAGGACCGAGTTTTAATATTTGTCCGTTCCGCGTTCAAATTAAATATTTCTCGGGCATTTCTGTGAAATGTGAATGTTTTATTGTTTTCATCTTTCAAAACTCTGCCCGAAATTCGAAATCACGAGCATCGAGCAATCTTTCCAGCAGGGATTCATTTGAAATTACTCCGCGAATGTTAAAAATTGTACTCTTCTTTTTTTTTCTTGCGAAAGATATAACAGATACGATGAATATAAAAATATAACAAATATTTTCAGGCTTACTGTTTTACCACCACACGTTTTTACTTCTAAATTCTATCTTTTCTACTATCGTATGGTCGTGTTAGTTAAATATTTAAGGGGAAATTTAATTTCATTGTGCTAATTGTTAATAAAAAAAACTAGAGGAAAAAAATTCCTCTAGAAATTTGCTCGCTTCGTTTCGGGGAGAAGTTGCAAGCTTATCAGTCGTCTACACGCCCCCGAAAGTTTTAACATTTAAATGCTGAACCCTGTGTCGTAAAATAATATCAAAAGCAGAGTACTTGTCGCAATATAAAGTGGGCCAAAAATCACTTCCTATTAAAATAGATCCGTAACCTTTTTATCATTTATTTTCTTCAAATTTTAGAACTTAAATTTTAATTCGAAACTAATAAGATTAGTTTTTTCTTATATTAGAAAAACTTTTGGCCCACTCAAAATTACTTTCGAGGAACTTGATTCGCGCTGAACAACTCGTCTGGCTCGAGAAAAAGACTCTCCCTCAACCGGTTCAAGGTTCTCGCGGAAAGAAAACTCGATTCGGATTTTAAACAGGAGAAGCAAGGGTAAGAACCAGT